AACATGGCCACAGGTTATGGCCTAGACCCTGGGCATCCGGGTTTTTGGTGGCATCACAGGCTACAGATACCAACATAGAACCTGACTGTGGGAGGACCACAGACTCAGACATGCCCTCAGCAGCAGCCCGGGGTCGGATGTCACCATGGTCCCAGGTGGCAGCTCAGGTCACTCGGGTCGGCATTTCCCCAGCTGCAGGATAGCCCTAGGGCCCCATCTAAACTCCAGGTGGGGGTCCCAACCAGGGCATCCACATGACCCCCAATGATAACAGGCACCATGGACATCAACACACACCCTGGCTATAGTAGGGCCATAGACCTGGACATGGCCTTTGGCAGCAGCTTGGGCTTGTCAATACCATGGTTACTGGTGGCAGTATAGTCCACCCAGATTGTCATGGCCTAGGCCATGGCACAACCCTTAGTTGCCACCATGGCCACAGTTGGTGACCCAGAACCCGGGCATCAATGTGGATAGGATGAACGTTTAACTCATGATTTTCCAAGATAAAAAAATTGCAAGGCTTGATAACAAGGATGATAGCACTAATGCTGATGTCACTGCAAAGAGTGGATGCAGCTTAGTTTTGGTGTGATACAACAAACTTTCTTTGTTATCATATGGAAAACAATGTGTATATGAAAAACTAATCTGGTTTAATCTAATGCTATTTTACATTAGAAAAAAGAAAGAATTTTAAATATATAAAGATGTTCTTAACTTTTAAGACTAATCTGAAATGCCATCCCTATATAAACTATCCCCATCAGAAGTAGTTACTCCTTGAACCCTAGAGCACTTGGTTCCTATGTCAATTACAACAGTTAGAGTGAAATATTCATTTCTTCACTCCGTTCTAGCTTAAACACTTTAAAGATCTTGGGACTGAAGAGAGGAGAGCTGTACTCTCAATGTCAGCTTGATTCTTGTACAGAGTGTACATTTACCAAAATGTTTACTGAATAGGTAGAGAAATAAAAGCTGTTTTCCCTTTGCGGAAAATTGCCACTATTAAAACAACATTCTAATAGACCCAAAGTGTGCCCTGCTTCCTTTTCTACTTTGACCAATAGCATACCTGTAGAGTTGAGGAAGTTCTTTGCCTCCATAGATAGCTAAACTCTATAGTGCAACTTTTCAAGATCCTTGGCCCACTAGAGTGCAGATCCCTGAAGTTAGCATCCCAGGTACCCTTATGCAGAAACAGAATTCAAGATCTCTCCAAAAGGAGTAACTTAGACGTATCTCACATAGCCCAGGCTTTATTTTTCATGATCCTTAAATTCAAGGAAAAATGGAGTATTAAACAACTCCAATGTCAGGGGCTTTGGGGTCTACCACTTACTGAACTACCGGCAACTAACAGATGTGTAACAGATTGTTACAGTTACTAACTGTAACAATGTGGCATTGTATACAATTGTGTACCCACTGAATGAATAGTTCCAAACCCACAGTCACACAGATGGCCCTCAACTCTGCAGGACACAAAACAAAAGTCATGAATATGGGAAAGAGATTTGTGCAGAATAAAAGAGACTAGCAAAGTTGGGAAGGAAGAAAGAGAGAGGGAAAGTCACAAAATACATTATATGTATGTATGAAATTGTTAAAGAACAAAATGTATTAATTAAAAATAAACTAAAAATCAGAACACAGTTCCCATAAAGTTTATTGTTCATTCTCATTAAAAATTCTTTAACTATGGGCTAGAGAGTTAGCTCATTTGTTAGGAACACTTGCTGTTCTTACAGAGGAGTAGAGTACAGTTCCTAGCACCCACAAAGCTCACACCAGGTGTAATGCTAGTTCTAGAGGATCTGACACCCTCTTCTGGCCTATTCAGATACCAGACATTCATATGGTGTACATACTCATGTGCAAGCAAACACTCACAAGATCAAAAATTGAATATTAAAAAAACACTGAAAAATACTAAGCTATTTGAAATATTTTGCTGAGATTTGAAGAGAATCTATATCATTCTCCAAGAGTGGGAATCCAGTCCTGGGCTCCCTCTACTTATTCTCATTGGGACCAGATGCCTAATGTCCAGGCCTCATTCCCTCATAACAATTTTCCTGGAAATGAAAATTCCCCTTAGATGTGGGATTTTCAATGCTATAACTGAGATGAGCTCAGGAAAACTAGGAAGTTTGATCATCTTGAACTAGTAAAGCACATATAGGCAAACCCAGTAATCCGGCAAGTTAACTCAAGACTTCTTTCAGTCATAGGTGAATGTATAAAAGTATCTGCCAATTAACCCTTTCTGTAACTAGAGTTTTCCTGCCTTGCCCACAGTCAGGACAAATCTCTGACACCCGCCAGTCCCACAGCCGCTCAGACCCGACCAAGTAAACACAGAGACTTATATTGCTTACAAACTGTATGGCCATGGCAGGCTTCTTGCTAACTGTTCTTATAGCTTAAATTAATCCAGTTCCATAAATCTATACCTTGCCATGTGGCTTGTGGCTTACCGGCATCTTCACATGCTGCTTGTCATGGCGGTGGCTGGCAGTGACTCCTCCCACCTTCCTTTTCTCTCAATTCTCCTCTCTGTTAGTCCCGCCTATACTTCCTGCCTGGTCACTGGCCAATCAGTGTTTTATTTATTGACCAATCAGAGCATTTGACATACAGACCATCCCACAGCACTTCCCCTTTTCTTTCTTTCTTTTTTTTTTTTTTAAAAGGAAGGTTTTAACCTTTACACATCTCCAAAGCCAGCTTGGTATATTTGGGAATTTGGGTGTAGCTTCTCTTACTACTTCCTGCTGGAAGGGGGAGCTGTATCTTATGGGGAGATAAAGAAAATTTTAGGATTATGGAGTAGTCCATGAGGGTGTATCTTCTGAGCCAGTTGCCTTGAAATGGTTCTGGATGTTGGATCATCTGGGCCATGGTGTCATCAGAGACCTTTCAGGGAGTCTTGACTGGTCAAACCTGATGTATCTTAATCTGGAACAAATCCATAGCCTCTGGCTTTCTGTGGAAACAAAAGCAGAGACTCTTTTCCAAATCAACATATCCTTACATCTAAATTTTGAAGTCAAGGTACCTTTAAAATATACATTTTGGCATAACTCAACGGCTTTTGCAATCAAATGTTTTTCTTCAGTTATGAATATCAAAGAGAACATAATCCAGATTCTCTGTGTGGCAGCCATCTTTACGTGGCTTGTTTTTTATATTACCTTGAGCCTATTGCTTTAAACTGCAGCCTTCTAAGCCTGAAATGGCACTGTCGCTACTGGCTCTGCCCACTTCAGCTTCCCAACATGGTAGTGGTACGTTTTCCGCCAGCTCTGGGAGCCATCAACTCTCAGAAATAGTGGGTCTATGCTTCTATCAAAGCAGCTTGCAGCCCAGAAACCTCTTTTTTTTGTTTTGTACTAGCAAAGGCTAAATTCACCACGCAGCTTAATGTGCCACTTGCAGAGGCCTCATTCCCGACAAACTGCAGGTAGAGCGCACATGCCAGGAACCCGCCATAGTAGCTCAAACACGCAGGCTGCCGCTAACTTGAAAGAGACAGCTAGGAACTGTTTTTAGCTCCATTTTAGAATCTTTTTTCTCAGGTTTTAGGTGGAAACTATTGCCAAAATGTTGGGCGCCATTTCTAACTGGTGCTATTTTATTTGTACTGAAATGTGATTTTATTTGTATGTTAATAAATAAAGTTGCTTGGGGGTCAGAGCTAATAGCAAGCCATAGCAGAGCTAGGCATTGGTGGCGCTAGGTAGATCTCTGTGTAGTCAAGGATACAGCCAGCATTGGAGACACACGCCTTTAATCTCAATACCAACCATAGAAGATCTGGAGGTCTGTACAAACAGGCAGTGACGAGGCGGTCATGTGGTTGGGTTTACAACCAATGAGAAGGCAGAACAGAAAGTCTATATAAGACAAACACTCAAGAAGTAGGTCTCTCTTGGCTGAAGAGGCTAGCTGCAGCAGACGGGTAAGGCTCTTAGCTCTGATCTCTTGGCTTTGTTCTTTGCATTGGTTCTGTGTTTCTTATTTAATAAGACGGTTGGTTATATCTACACCCCTCCTCTTATTTTTTATGGACTAGAACATGTTTTAATTAGAGCAATGCATTTCAAACTTTATCATACAGTAGATTCAACATGGGCCTTATTAAGTGAGTTTTCCCTTGGTTAGCTCCAGGGTAGAGTTACAAGTTTCCAGATAATGCTGATGTGATCTGTTGTAGAGAACTCTGAGTATTTATATATTACCATGTTCTTTCATCACTAACATGTAAGCAGAAAAGGGGTCAGTAGAAAGTATGAAAGTGCAATAAAGATTATAGACTTTTATAAGAATCAGTTTTATTTTCTTTTTTATTTCTTAAGTATCTCTCAATGCAGCTTCATAAAAAGAGGTTTAAACTTTGGGGAGGCTATTTCCAGAGCCATGGAGTTCTCTATAATTGGGTTTACCTTAATGACTGTCTTCTTGATGGAAAAGTAAACTAACTGGTGACATTTGGTTCCTCTTAGGAACTAACAGCTGAAATATCCTCTACACTTAATTTGCATCATAGCTTTGCAAATACCATTTTCTCTGTTAGGAACACTAATGAGAAGAAACACTGCATGCTGATAACATCTACATTTCCTACTATCTATGTATGCTTTTAAATGTAAATGAATATGTAGCAGAAATATAAAAGCAATTCCACATTGTAAATATGCATTTAATTTATGCCCAAATTCTACACTTGAAAGGAACATCATCTTATTGCTTCCTATCAGTACACTCATTTCTCTTTCAAATCTGGAAATATCTCTTGCCTTCTCTTAAGTTACTGCACTTCTTTAGGTATATGTGACTTGGGAGAAACTCAGCTATAGAAGCAGAATCTCATTATCTGTAAGTAGTTTCAGGGAAAATGGATCCAAAGTACAAAGCTTACCATTTTGTTGTGTAAAATGAATTTCTATGTGTCGATTTCAATAATATAACCATTTTGTTTCTGTCCCCAGCGTTCCAGTGGGCTGGCTATTCCCTTATGTGCATTCCAGGGAACCGTGTCTCTCCAAGCACCTACCGGGAAAACTCTCTCTCTTTCTACTTATGAGGTCAGTGCAGAAGGACAAAAGATAACCCCTGCCTCTAAGAAAATAGAAGTCTATCGATCAAAAAGTGTTGGCCATGAACCAAACTCAGAGGAGTCTCCCTCTACATTTGCAGACACCAGCGTGAAAATACACTTGGAGGTTCTTGAAATTTGTGACAATGATGAGGCTTTGGACACTGTGTCAATTATCAGCAACATCAGCCAGTCCTCCACCAAAGTCAGGTCTCCTTCTTTGCGCTACTCAAGGAAGGAAAACAGATTCGTCTCATGCGATTTAGGAGAAACTGCCTCATACTCCCTCTTCTTACCCACAAGTGATCCTGATGGCGATATCAACATCTCCATCCCAGACACTGTGGAAGCACACAGACAGAACAGTAAGCGGCAGCGTCAGGACAGAGAAGGTTACCAGGAAGAGATCCAGTTGTTAAACAAAGCCTACAGGAAAAGGGAAGCAGAAAGCGAGGGTAGTTAGGGAGTGCCGGGTCGAACAGGGCCAGAACAGCTCTGCAACCTTGGACTGCAAAACTTGCTCTAGTGCTAAGACTCATTTCCCTCTTCCTTCTAATCATAGGCCTACATAAGCTTTCCTGGTTATTATTTTTGGGGGTTGACTTGCCATAATGCATACATAAAGTGCATTTCATGTACTACTTAAAGATCATACACTGTGGTGATTGAGCAACTTTGTGTCTGGTTTCTAAAACCTTTCTAAACCAAATCTTGACCTAGTTTGCTAATATTTTGCCATTTATGAAAAGAACACACTGTTTTCATGCATGAGTTTCTGCACACATGCTGCTTTTTACTGCAAGAGGGAAAAGAGATGTTGTGGAAATGGAAAAAAAAATTGTACCAAAACTCTGAGTTGTATTTGAATACATATTTGCCTAGTCTAGCCAAACAAGCTTATTTCAGTGACTGCTTTAGCCTTTCAGTGGTCTAGGAAGTTTGTTTTTGTGTAATTAGCTTCTAACATGGAAATTTAGAAATATGTATAGCCCTAGTCTACTGTTATTTCATTTGTTATTATAAAATTCAAGTAGTTTAGTGAGTGGTTCTGTTTGTCTCTCTTGAATATATCTTTCCCTTTTCAGTGTGTCAAGATCACTCTTAAATACTTGGTATATTGCAAGTGGCATTAGAAGTAATCTTTAACTCAAACCTCTCTGGAAAAAACTTGTTGTTAGATTTCTCTCCCTCTAACAAATACCTGGGATATGCTTTATTTGGATTCATGTGATGTAGAATTTTAATTGAAAATGTGTTACATTTGTTTATACTGTGGAGCGTTTGTTTAATGATGCAAAGGTGTGTTGCATTCTTTTATGTTGCATTTTTTAACTCTGTGAAGCTTTGTTACTTTGTCTCTCTAAAACACCCGGTTGGTCTAATAAAGAGCTGAATAGTCAATAGCAAGGCAGGAGAAGGGATAGGCAGGACTGGCAGGCAGAGTGTATAAATAGGAGAAATCTGGAAAGAGAAGATCAAGGAGCAAGAAAAGAAGGAGAAAGAGAGGAGGACTCCAGCTGCCAGCCACCCAGCTACACAGCAAGTCACAGAGTCAGAAGTAAAAAAAAGGCAGATAGCCAGCCTGCTCCACAAAGCTAGTTCCAGGACAGTTAGGGCTCTTACACAGAGAAACCCTGTATCAAAACAAAACAAAACAAACAAACAAATGAAAAAAAGGCATATAGAAAGGTAAAAGCCCAAAGGCAAAAGATAGACGGGATAATTTAAGTTAAGAAAAGTTGGCTAAAAACAAGCCAAGCTAAGGTCAGACATTCATAAGTAATAGTAACTCTCCATGTGTGATTACTTAAGAGCTGGATGGCAAGCCCCCCAAAGAGTAAAAAGAGTAAAAAACAAAACAAAACAAAAAACAACAATCATGATCTGTCTACTCTGTTGCTTCTGTGGCTGTGGCAAGGTGGCACATGGTGGAATGAGTACAGGGCAGAACAAAACCTCTCATCTTATGTGAGCAAATAAAAGAGACCACGGTGTTCCATAACCCCTTCTAGAACATGTGTCCATGGCATAAAGACATCCCACTAGGCCCCACCTCCATGTTCCCCTCTTCTAAAAGTACTTTCCTGGGGAACTATGACTCTTGACATTAACCTGCAGGGTCCAAATTATAACAAGCTATAACCATATCACCATCCAACAACTACTCTGTTTCTTTAAATGGAGATTGGGAGATAATCCTGTCACATTAAGTCCTGAGAGGTACACCACACTAGGGTAACAAGTTTCTGGCTAAAGAAGAAAACCACTGAGTCTAACAAAAGAATCTGCTCCTGTGCTGAAGATTTCTAAGATTTGCTTTGCATTCTTGAAGCCTAAAAAATTTACTTCAAATATTATTTCTAGAATTAAGAACCTTAAGATTTCTTCCCTAAAGACAATGTATTATCTCAAACAATGAACCAATTCAATATGTATTTCATTAAGTGATTGCAATGAATACATGACAAGATTAATTTTTTAAATACTTTATCAGAACACCAATAATGTATATTTCAAAAACTCTGTTCTTTTAAAATTATTTTATTTTAATTTTTCTATAAACATACCAAATATGTTGCCTAGATATTTATTTACAAAAGTCATTGTTGTTTCATGTATTCTTAGATTGTGTATACCTGTATTGCAGGCATATATGTTATTCACAGATTAAATTAATTATATTTAGAACAGTTCATTTTGGTTTCTGCTTCATTATACTGAGTCAAAACTCTTAAAATTATTTCACATGAGCTTTTACATTGTTATGTTCTCCAGAGAGTATTTGTCATCAAGAAAAGACACTTTGAAAATGAGTACCTCAAAATAAGTAAATAAATAAATCAATGAATGCATAAATAAATGGTAGTTGTGATGGCTCATGCCTAAATTTCCAGCACTTGGGAGAAACCAGAGGAGAGATGCAAGTTTGAGCAAGCCTGGACTCTACAGTGAGTTTCAGGCACCTAGACTACCAAGCAAGATCCTGCCTAAAAACAAACATAAAATATTGCAAGAACAACAATAAAATTCTAATAAATGACCTCAATGAAATTTTTCCATCTCTCATAACTACTCAATATCTCATTATCTAAATTTAAGAAAAGGTAATGTCACTATTAATGTTTTTAAAAGCAAACCTATAATAAGGCATAGCATATAAATTTAAACTTATAGGAATTCTCATTATATATATATATATATATATATATATATATATATATATATATATATATATATGCTGTGGGATGGTCTGTATGTCAAATGTGTTGCTGATTGGTCAATGAATAAATCACTGATTGGCAGTGGCCAGGCAGGAAGTATAGGCGGGACTAACAGAGAGGAGAATTGAGAGAACAGGAAGCTGGGTGGGGGGACACTGCCAGCCGCCATCAGGATAAGGAAGATGTAAAGTACCGGTAAGCCACAACCCACGTGGCAAGGTATAGATTAATAGAAATGGATTAATTTAAGCTGTAAGAACAGTTAGCAAGAAGCCTGCCATGGCCATACAGTTTGTAACCAATATAAGTCTCTGTGTTTATTTGGTTGGGTCTGAATGACTGTGGGACTGGCGGGTGTCAGAGATTTGTCCTGACTGTGGGCCAGGCAGGAAAACTCTAGCAACATATATATATATATATATATATATATATATATATATATATATATATATATATATATATAAAAAACATTCTTCACCAAAGTGGAGAGTTATTGAGCACAATGGTAGTTGGGCAAATCTGCTTAGCATGAAGCTGGGTTGGCAGAGTCTTTCCAAGTATGCACCAGGAGTTCAAGGTCATTATCTACTTCCTCGTGTTTGAGGCCGACCTTGTATACAGGAGATCCTGTGTGCAAAGAAGTTTTCATAAAAAGGACAAATCAAGCTGGGTGTGGTGATGTACACCTTTAATCCCAAAATATAAGAGGCAGGCAGAATTCTAGGCCAGTCTGGTCTACAGAGCAAGTTCCAGGCCAGCCTGAGCTACATAACGAGACCTACATCTCCAAAAGAAAAGAATAAGAAAGAAGGAAAGGAGGGGAGGAAGCAAGCAAGCAAGATCAAACCGAACATTCTAATGGTGCTTCGTAAAAGATCGTTTTTTTGGCAAATCTAGATGTCTCATTTTCTTAAGAAAGTGATACGGCTATCTTAAATGCAATTCTGGCTGTAAGGAAACTTAAAAAAGAACATGATAAAGATTTGAATGTAAATAAACCCTTTTTGACAGAATGGAAGGCCTTTAATGAGATGATGGAAATTAAGGTTTAAGAGATTAGAAGACAATAATATCCAGATTTCTGACTATCTTCCATTTTTTTCCCCACTGGATAAGCCTAGGCTAGAAGAACCAAAAAGTAAAAAATAAAGTATATTCTTACTTAACTACTCTTGGTTCTTAGGCTATACAGGGGATATAATTTAAAACGTTCTCTGTGTTAAAGAGAACTGGGATTAATTATCTGAGACAATTTAAAAGGCTAACAGGGATTATGTTAAAAATGTGTAACACATGGGTTGGAGAGACGGCTCAGCTATTGAGAGCATTGGCTACTTTTGCAGAGACCTGGGTTGGATACTCAGCACCCACATCTAGTTCCAGAGGATCTGATACTGACTTTTGACTTTTTCAGACACTGCAGGCACATGGTGCAGAGCCGTACATACAGGCGAAACACCCATACACATTAAATTAAATTAAATTAACAAATAAATTGTGACACAGTATTCTGAGCCATCTGTGTTGAATTGATGAAAAAACACAAATTTGGTCTTGCAGAAGCATAAATATCACCTCCAAATCCTTGTGAGGAGGGGGAAGGTTTAATTACACAGATCTACTCAAGTTTATTTACTCTTTAGAGTGATTGTAATCATGAAACCCTCTTTTGACACAGGAAGTATCTTGGTATTTTATACTATATTTAAATGTCTTAACTTATTCTTGTAAGATAAAGTTATACAATTCTCATTATTAATGAACAGTAAATTAGACATAGCTTATCTGTCTATAAACAGATACACCTGAAGATAAAAACTGGTTCATTGTTAGTGTCACCATCTGGTGGTGACTCCTACCAACTGCAGACATACAGTGCCTGTAAAAATTAAATAATTTAAACACATGCTATATAATCCCTAATACTTCTGACAGCTGGTCTTGATTGAGGTAATTCATTTTAAGGCATGTTGTATTTCTCAGAGCACAAAGGGAACTTGGTTGTGCATTATTTTGAAGCTCTTCTGATAAAATTCTCTGATATCAGATTTCATAAGCAGATTTTCTCTGACTCACATCTTTCAGCATATTTTATTCATTTTTTCATTATAATTGGTGACTATTATATACTATAAAATTTTCTAAGTACATGGGATTAAAACTACAAATAAAACAAAACACATATACAAGTATACATATGACAATTTAAGCCAAGTATAAAATTAGTAGATAGAGTCCACACAACATTGCCTTACCCCCAACACCAATTTTACATTCCGAAGATTCTCTGAATTACTGTCAGTTCCCGCAGTTCATCAGACACTCACATGATGCATAGATATCTTCTATTACTTATAGCTCACTACCTCCCTCTTCGAAGGTCCCGAACAAACCAGACAGTAACAAACTGGTTAGTAGTGAGAGCTTTTGGGTCTTCTCACATCAACTTGGCCACCTGAGGGATCAGAAACGTGTATCTGTCACCTGAACAGCCTATCAGACCCGACTCTCTTCTTCCTATGGTGGGGCCCCAACAAGCATTCAAATGAGCTTTCCCTGTGTGCACGTTGTCACATATAGAAAAGGAATGCTGTCCATGACTCCATGGGAAAAGCACAATAAAAGTTCCACACTTGGAACTTTTCCTGGAGTTTGCTCTGTTCATCTGTTCCCCTGGCTGATTCTCCTTATGTATTTTTTTCTGTTTTAATTTTCATCCTACTTTTAAAAAATTATAATTAATTATTTGAAAATTTCATGCATGGGCATAGCAAGTCTTCTTCATAACCACCTCCAATTTCCCCATCCCACTCTCCTCGGATCCTCCTCAATACATCACCTCCCATTTTTATGTCTTCTTTAAAAACAAAAATCCACTGAGTCCAGTTGTTGCTACCTCTATGTACATGGATGTGGGTACATCTATTAGTGCATGGGCAATAGCAGCAACTACATCCCCAAAGAACAGTGACTCCCCACACCCCAACACCATAAATATCCTTGGCTGATTTTAATCGGCCTTTTTTTTCCATGAAACAAATTGTAGCCATAACTGCACAGCTGTTCAGATGACAGATACTGTCAACTTCTGTTGACTTATGTAGCTCTGTCTGCAAGACCTGGAATCTGAGGACCCGAAAGAATGGGCAGACTACAGTCTAATGCTGTAGACAACCTTACTTCAGTTTCAGTGTACTTTCATACGTGAATGTAATGAAGAAAGTAACGATCCATGAAGGTTGTTTGAGTTCAGAAAAACAGGATCAGAGACACATGATCAGAAACACATGTAAATAAATGTCTGTAAATACATACTAAATATTAACAGAGCAGCCCTTTCCCAGAATGTTCTCATGACAGACCAATTTAAACACAATTGCCTGACACATACTATAGATTGTATCTGGGAAAGCTCAAAAGCAAGGCAGAGGGACACTGACCAGATTGGGTTCTATAGCTATGTTCTGACAGCCAATAAGAAGAAACATGTTTTAGAAGTTGAATGTCAATGTTTGTCACAGGAAACATGATATCACATCCAAGAACAATCCAGGGAACAAAATACACCTGAGGTAAAAGCCCTCTGCCTTCCTCCCCTGAAGCCTCTCTCACAGTTCCACTAAGGTTAGATGAGGCAATTGGGAAGGAGGAATGGGTCCCAAAATCAGGCAACAGTCAGAGACATCTCCCACTCTCACTGCTAGGAGTCCCTCAGGAAGATCAAGTTACACAACTGTAACATATATGCAGAGAACCTAGGTCAGTCCCATGCAGGCTCCCTGGTTGTTGGTTCAGTCACTATGAGCCCCTACAAGCCCAGGTTAGTTGGTTCTGTGGGTTTTCTTATGGTGCCCTTGACACTACTGGGTCCTATAGTCCTTTCTTCCTGTCTTCTGCAGAATTTCCTGAGCTCAATCTAATGTTTGGCTGTGGGTCTCTGCATCCGTTTCCATCAGCTGCTGGGTTAAGCCTTTCTGATGACAGTTGGGTTAGGCACCAATCTGTGAGTATAGCAGAATATCCTTAGGAGTCATTTCATTGATTTTTTTTGCCATTCATGTTGGGTTCTATACAAGGTCTCAGAGGTCCCACTTCTGGGTCCTGACCCTAAGTAGGGTGCTCCCTCTCAGAGTATAGGATCTCCAACTGTACCAGTCATCAGTTGGTCACTCTGACCATTTCTGTGCCATCTTTACCCCAGCACATCTTGTAGGCAGGACAAATTGCAGACTGAAGGCTTTGTGGCTGGGTAGGTGTCCCAATCCCTCCACTGGAAGTCTTGCCTGGTTATAGGAGATGGCTGGTTCAGGCTTCAGATCCACTAATGCTAGGAGTCTTAGCTAGGGTCACCTTCATAGGTTCCTGGGAGTTTCTATTACTCTAGGTGTCTAGCTCATCCCAGAGATGTTTCCAGATTCCAGTTGTCTCTCCAAGTACTCTCTCCCTTATCCTCCCCTACCTGATCCCTACTATTCCTATCCCTGTTTCCCCTTCCTGATCCCTCCTCCAAACCACTGGCAATGTCCATTCTGTTTCCCTTTTACAGCGAGCTTCATGCATCCTCCCTTTACCTCTCCTTGTTACTTAGCTTCTCTGGGTCTGTGGTTTGCAGCATGGTCTCCCTTTACATTATAGCTAAT